TATCTACTTAGCTCGACGTATCCTGCCAAAGATTCTTCAGAGCGAACAAATGTTTTGACATTCGAGTTGTTAGATATTTTGATCGGATCAAATATTTGATATATATTCAGATCATTCTTTCCGTACTAAGTTAGTGACGCGATATTCCTTTTATTGCAATGTACCAGGTAAATTGCTTATGTACCGCTTCAAAAGTAAAAACACCATCGAAATCTCAAAACAGTACTTAGGTTAATCACGAAATGACGCATTATTATTTTCTTGCCTTTCAGAGTGTGAAAGTATCAGGAACAAACCATTTCATTGTTGACATGACGTTTTAAAAACTGCATCTCTTCCTCAAAATATGATTTCTGCATGCAATCAAACAATTACACAATCTGCCGAAGAGCTTCAACATTCATTAGAAACACAACCGCAGTCCGAAAGTGGCCTGCAGAACTGTAAGATAACTAGGAGGCTGTGACGGTAGTAAACATCGATACACACATACTACTGTAGTTACAGTTCAGTGAAAAGTTTTTAAAGTATATAAACTTCTTTACTTGTTTTTTCTTATCATCTTCCACACGAGGAGCGCTAACGACCATTTTGTAGAACATAGGCTATGTTTAGCGGAGATTCTCAGTCCATCCAATCATCGGCTAGAAGAATGTTCCAAAATCTCGACGTGTAGCTTCCGGAGGGAGCAAGTGCTAAAAGCCATTGCATGCGGATTGGATGACCGTGATGATGATTACACTTTTACTAATAACTATAAATAACTTAGTGTTTTGTACCATATTAAACACTGTTTGTAATAAGATTTCCTCCTACCGTTCTTTTGTCTTCTAACTTATGACTTGAAGGGTTCAGGCGTTCAAGTTGTGCCCGTAGTCGTAGCTCTAGGTACAACAACTGACAATGGGGTCAACTTATCAAAATGTCATTTACTACTGACCGAGTCAAAGCTCAAGAAGCTCTAGACATATCAATATCACTTTCAGATGTATTACGAACAATTTCATATTCTATTTACATTCAAAGCACATGCTTTCCGAATTCCGGTATTCTGAATAGTAATGTGTCATTTCGTTATAGCACATTTAACACATCAAACCGAGACGAACGAACATGAGAGCAAGCCACTACACGCCGACTCTGAGTGAACTCATGTCTTAAAGATCAATGACAGTTGTTTCTTCCTGAAAAATGTCCACATCAAATTTCAATGGCTGATCGGATTCAAAACATTGTAAGGGTTTGGATCTCAAGTTTTTTTCATTGCTAGACAAAGTCAAGTCCATGGATAGCGTGTCATAAAGCTGTTAGGACACGGATAGCTGTGAACCATCTCAAACAAAACTTACGATATAAACCCGACGATGTACGGGAACTCAAAATAACTACTTGCAGCTATGGAACTCAGACCTAGGTTATCAATCATGACTTAATGGCCTTACGGTCTACAAAAAATATTAACTCTAAGACATTAGTACGATTTATTAAACGAGGAATGGAGTTGTTACAGCCGCAAAATGAAACGTCCAAAATTCCTACACCTATTCAAAGTCAACAAAAAAGAGCACAATCCAGTTTTATTTGGCTGAAAGATAGATTAAAACCGATGGTGCACATTATTATCCCTTGTCACATGTCTTCATAAATCTACAGAACTCCTAGCGGCGCACATGCTACATAGTTAGTCTGGCCTACAAACACGCCATCGACCGGTTTGAACTAAGCCGGTCAAGGCAGGTGGAACAAAAGAGATAACTTTAATCCCTAAATTACTTCCGCCATCTCTCGCTTTCATATTAAGTGCCGGCTACTTGAAGTGATACACAAACAGGGCTCCAGAAGAATACAAAATACTTAAATCCAACAGTGGGGTGGTTTTATTATCAGTCAGTATTGTGCTGAAGGTTACAAAAAATGATAAATAAAGTGAAAACGTCCTGTCGAGTTACTCAGATATCGGAAAGAACACAGTGGTCATTGTTCAACCCAGTTAATTTATGTACGACACTCGCCTTGCCAAACAAATATATTGGGAGCTCAAACGTTACGTCGGTGTAAACAATCAAATACGTATTTCATATAAGATGATATATAGAAGCACTAAAGCCAACTGACCCGCACATTTTGGCAGACGAAACGTTCGTGCCCACTACAATGGAAATCACACTCATTGTATCTGATGAATTCGATAGTATGTCACAGCCGTCTGTTAAATAAGTTATTAAGAAGGCTCGACAGTATTACTTACTTAATTACGCCTGTTACTGCCAATGAAGCATAGGCCGCCAGTCAGCATCCTCTATCCCATTCTGTCCTTGGCCTTCCTTTCTAGTTCGATCCAGTTGTTGTTCATTCTTCTCATGTCTGTTTCCATTTCCCAGCGTTATGTGTTCTTTGGTCTTCCTCTTCTACTTTGGCCATCAGGATTCCAATTGAGAGCTTGCCTTGTGACACAGTTGGGTGCTTTCCTAAATGTGTATCCTCCTGTAGCCCCCTCGGGGCTACTGCCGGTCCCAAGCTCGGATAAAGGAGGAGGGTTGGGCACGGGGTTAGCGACCACATTCCGTAGAAAACTGACTCGCTAGAAAACTCGGACCAGAAAAAAATTATTCAAACCCGACAGTATTAACTGTAGACAAACTTAAAGGTTAGAGACGTTGTAGTGGCAATGAGCCCTAACCACACAATTATCAAAGCTGAACACGAGACAATCGGGTAAATAGATATCCAACATTCAACGAGGAGAATATCGAACGATGGAGAAGGTGAGAAGAGTGGATTTATGTGGTTCGAATTGATCGGATGGCATGGCTCATTATTGCAAGCATGGTCATACTCATGTAAAATAATCTTTATTCAGATTAAATATATTGTCCTATCTCCAGCCTAAATTTGTTCTTCATCATATATCGATGATTGTTACAATACGATGGGGCAATGTAGACGTTGATGTGACTACCACGTAAGATCTTATAGATTAGGCAGTTATGTTATGACAAATCTACAATTTTTGGGATTAGGTCTATTATTAATCCAGTAGACCATAAAGCCATAAGGTACTATAGTATTTGCGAAATGTATAAACCAAAGACTGTCTGCATAAAGTCACGAAATTAAACCGTAAACATTTGTGATTAGAACATATGGTCTATCCACAAAAGAAACTGCATTTTATGTCTGCCAGACAACAGAATATTGGCGTGATGTTACGGTCATCCAAGTTATTACAACAGACTGCGGATATCGGTTCAAATCCGGGTTGTACAGAGTTGCAACAAACCTCTTAGAATTAACTCACCTTCAAACCACAGCGTACCGCATATAAGATAATGGAGTGGTAGAACGATTACACCTGCGGTCGATAGCCTCATCTTCCTCTATGAATACGCTACCGTCAACAAATAGCTTATACTTGCCTTATCATTATTATTGTTATCAGTGGCTGTATTCAACATTGTATTTTTAGCACAATATGGAATTCTCAAAAAAGATTTCATTAAGTTTCTTTTTCTTATTTCTTGGCCGACACTTGCGATAAATATTGAATGGTGGCCAGTTAAGTGTTGGCAGTTCAGGAATGGGCATCCGATCAATGTATATTCTTTTCGATGCATATTCTCAGCAACTATGATGTCTCCGATTGGGCTGTTTTATAACTTGTACAGCGAAATGTCGGAAACAATTCACAAGCGCACCTGAATAGGTAATGCGACCACTAAACCTAATCATGTATTAAACCAAACCCAAAATCATACAACATGTTGAAATATCCATGCGGCAGGAACAGATGGCCCAAATATTCGCATATTTCTGAATTTATGTGACATTTCTGAACCTATTTTGTGGCCTGGAACTTTCTAGATTTTAGTCCTAAAGCACGTCAATGATCACTCATCCTGTCAGTTGTGTTAAAAGGTTCTCACATGATAGCTATGAGATTTGAAATCATGAGTACTTGTCAATAAATCTCCGATGTACCCTCTTGAAATGGATTTCGTCTGGTTGTTGTTTGCTATCACGGGTGTACTGAGAGTTCTCATAGACCTAATTTAAAATATACTTATTCACTTCTAACAGCGTACTGAATCTGTTTAAGATTATTGAAATTTCGTCTCTATACAATCTAAAATCATACATTAAATGTTAAGATATATTTTGACAGTAGTAAATTAGCAGGTTCGAAGCAAATTCTTGACCAGTTTCATAATAGGTACTTTTAATCAGTTTCAGACAATCTCATTTGATCTCACCTCAGCTAATAAAAATACCGTTTCATCATATACTTCAGGAGTATAAATATCCTACAGCGACTTCAAAACATTTCACCAAGTCAGTTCATCGTATAAAGTATTTATCTTTCAAACGACGATAGAAAATGCTGACTCTATACCTGTTTGAAGATGAAAAACTAGGAAGGCCTCCTCATAATCAACCACCATAACAGAATATCATAGGGATATACGGAAACGCTGGTGTTTGATCACAAAAACCATAAAGAGAGTACTCTGAAGACAGTAATTGTAAATTTAGCTTTCCAATTTTTTTGAGAGTAATCAGGTCCTGAAGTTCCTTACCATCCGACTTGGTTCAGAAAACTATCCAGAAATCATTTAGGTGGAGACTTCATGCATGCTTATGGACTTATTTAAGCATTTCATTTTGGTGGATTGAAAATAGTTTGGTCTTTTCTTATTCTCTGTCTCTGGATCTTTACATGTAGACATTAACGATCTGTTAACATGATTCCCAGAGGCATTTTGATCGAAAGCTGCAGCTATTTTGTCCACAAGCGTATACACCATTTGCATATCCAGTTCTATTGATCCACTGCCGATGCATCAAAACATCTGGAACACACTTTTAATGGTAAGATGTGAGAGTAAGGATGTCAATAAGTCAATATAATCTTAATTGACGTACATAAAAATTATTGAATATTCAGGGTTATTGAGAATTGAATTGTCGGGTGTTGTTTTCATGGGTCGCTTTTGAAATCATCTGCTTGCTACTGTGTTATCGTGTGTCAAGGTTGTCCTGCGTCGTTTGGAATTGGGATATTTCCATCTGTTAATTTTTGTTTAGCAAAGCACATTCCAGAATTGTAAGACGGTTAATATTGGTTTTCCAAGTATGGTTTATGCACTTCTCTCCCAGAATAGAGTAAGTTAACATACTAAGTTTGTTAACAAACTTGCCGTGTCAGATAATCTAATTGATATCTCTGAGTTACACTATTCATATCATTTATTATCTTTTTAGAACTAGAATTGTGGTTAAGGTTGAGGATTTCTGGTTTTATACAGAGAGACCTCGACTAGCATTTTGGTATACATACATCATGATGTTTATAAGTATCTGTCACATTATCAATGATTAGGTTTCCATATTTATTATTCCATAAACTACGAATATTTTGTTAGGCAAATCGCATAGTAGCCAAGTAAAATTTTGAAACCTCATAGTACATGTTGTAGACTTCTCATACAACTATATCGCGCAAACTTCCATTCGTTCTACACTTTCGAAGGACAGGAAGTGTGTCTGCAAGGCAACCACATACTTTTAAGACAATTTAGTTTACGTTTCTAAGTTTATTTCGACATTTCTGAGTTTAGTACCATTATCACATCACTGTGCGGTTCCACAGAATTGTCTTATGGGATCTTTGGCTGTATACTGATTTGTTATGACACTTGACTGGGAAGAGACGTTATGAAGTATCGACCAGTCATATGGTATTTTGCGATTTATAAGACTAAACTAGTCATGTACTAACTGTTAGCCGCATATTTTTATCTTAATACCCCTACATATTTTATGTATCAAGGTGATTAGCATTTAGTTTCTTAGGTAATTGTCAAACTATTTATAATATCCCCAACTATTTTATTATTTATTTATCTGAACACATAAATATTGGTACGAAGGCACCAAATATATATGCGCCACACAAAACAATGCGAATTCGAAGAGAGAAAAAAGGTAAGGAGCTTGAAAAAAAAGAACAGTGACGAACAGATTAGTGTAAGGTAGTGTAAGAATAATAAGGATGGGGGAAACAGAAACTTACAATCAGAAGAGATCTTTCAGTTTAGGAAGAAGCAACCACTTTTTTTATGAAGAAAGTAAAAGAAGGTTACAGCAGGATCGCCACTGGCTTCTATTCTGAGCCATATATGATAACGTCTCTAGTTACTGTGTTGCGCCATCTCTCAGACCCTAGCCAGGAAGTCGTGAAGGACCAACAGAAGCCAGCCCTTTGCAGCTTCCTTTCATACCACAACACCATGTCATACACTGACCACCTCTCCGCTATTTCCAATCAGTCCCAGAGTCCGTAGATAATGCACGATGTGGAATTCTCTGGGCCCACATTCGTAGAACATGTCCAAGCCACCGAAGTCGGTGTTTCAAGATGGTGACATCAGTTGCATTATCATCTCTGTGCCCGAACACACATGAAGTTGCAACCAATGCCCATCTGTACTTTTCGGTGGAATGGTAGCTAGCCTAGAAGCAGACCAGGGTATGATCAGAGTCCAGATAGGTACTCAAAAATGAGCGGCAGTCTTTTACACAACCACGTCAGCTGTACCTGATCGCAATGTGACCAATCTGATTCCAGGCTTGTGATACAGGGGGAGGTCGCCAGGTGGCACATCGGCGATGACTGCCGGAAGTTAGTGCTAACCAGAAACAGGTTGTGGTCTGTGCACAGTTGCAGTAGACGGTCCCCGTTATCAGTCCTGCGACTAAAAAGTCACCATCGGCCATCTAAACGACTCTCTTCTGTGCCTAGATGCTCGACCTGAGCATTCAAGTCTACGGCTAGTACTACAATATCTGTCGAACGCACTTTCTGGAGAAGAACAGATAACTGGTGGTAGGATTCATCCTTGATTGCATCCGGGCTGCAATCTGTCTGGGCAACTTGGACCGATGCATATATATGCCTGGTCCTACGTTGCAGCTGACTGACTGTCGGGCCATAGGCGATGACGAAAAGACATCGTTTCTCACGCCGATTTCTCACTTTGATGGAACTTTCTAATCTAACAGCACATAACCGACTGTTAATCGGGATCCAATCGATTAGTGCTGCCTCAGCTCTAGCGCTTAGTGCGACACTAACGCCAGCAAGACCAGACGAAGATGCCACAGAGTCCCCGGATAAACGCACGTAAAACAAGCTTTTTGAAGCGACAGATGGAGAGCGAATTTGTAGTACTTCACTGGAGTCTTGAATACGGGTATCGAATAGACATCAAACGTCGATACTAAGACTTTCCAAAGACATAGCCAGCCTTATCTGTTGTCCGACCTGCATAAGTGTGCGAACATTGAAGGCAGCCAGTTTGAATGGTGCACGTGGTTTCAGGAAAACTGTTTCAGTATTCGTATCTGGTGGTAGCATACAATTTTCAACCAGGCAGCGACTCGAGAACGTTTAGATAGAGCCGAATTTCCACCATAGGCGATCTTCTGTATAAGTCGAAAAGTAAGTATAGACAGAGTAGGAATAAAAGAGAGGGAATAAATGACGTAAATAATGATAATAATAATAATAATAATAATAATAATAATGTGAATCGTATGATTGTTAATCGAAGCGAGGAAAGTATTTTCCATAATTATCGACAGTTCATCATCTGTGTGTGGGCTGTGATACTGCCCGGGTGCCCAGACCGAAGCAGGTGGCTTCTTAGGGGGCCAAACCCCGAGCCTTCGACCTAAAGGTCTAACCCACAAGGCAGTGGAGCATCGTGAGGAGATGCAGTCCTATGGTAGCCGGTGACCGACGATTGGTTCATACGCCATTTGTTCCCGCAGGATACTGGAGCCCATGTGCACCATTGGTTTGGGATCCGGTTAAAGCGCCGAATATTCGCTTTTCGTCCTCTCACTTTCATAAACAACACCCCCGCCACGAGAAGGCAGTGATTAGGACTTCCCTGGCAGAGGCTGTGTACGCGTGGCCGTGTGAGAGCATTTCGAGGAGGGCGGGCCCTCCCCACTCTCGGCCATACCAGGGCATTAGGGGGCATATCCCTAACTCAGTTGTTAGCATGTTCTTATTGCTTTGCAATAAGTGGTGTGAGTATAAGTTAATATTTATCTCCCTTGACACCTAGAAACCATCCAGAAACATTTAAGCGTTCGGTTTATGTATTCCTTTTAATGGTCTTTACGGCTACCCGGACCTTACATAACTTACCACTTGGCAATAAATTTCTTGTTTTGACCAGCATATGTATATGGCTTCCGATTTCCAAATTTCATAGCTGTTCATTTAAAACTAATGTTTATTCCTGTCTTTGCCTTGGCAAAAATTTAAGATAAATAATTATATACAAAATATTTCTTCCTTAACAGTTTATTAACTTACTTGGGTTATTCCAAGTCACAAAGTTGTTTCTATTCTTGTTGGGGTTTGGCTCAATCTGTTGATCTAAATATATGAGGCATTTACCTTAATCTTGTTGTATTTACTGAGTGAATAAATAGTACTTTTTCAAACCTCTAGTTTATTTCTTATTGTCATATTACTTATGATCTTTCTATTACATTAATAATTAATGTACTCCAACTCTTAGGACCTGCCATACTTCCTAGTAAATGTCACTTAAATCTTTCAGTGACTACGTGGTTTTATGGAGCTATCAACACGTTCCATAATATTCCGTATACATTCACCCTTTTGTACAAAAATTGAGAATATTAAGTAGCCAGATTTGTCAATGATTAGATTCGAGGCTGATTAGGGTCCCTCATTGTCAGAAATTTATTTAAGGCTGTTTGTTTGACAGCTTACATCAAAAAGTTATGTGACAGAGGTTGATTTTAGCTTCTGTTTTTATTTGTCAGCCTAATTTACTTCTACTATGGAATAATTACTTTAAACTGATTAACTCAAATTATTTTTTATTCTCCATTGAAGATTGAGTTGCAAAGGATCAACTGATATCAACAATATCTAACTGCCTTATTAACTCTATGTTTTTATGTATTTAGTATTTATCCTCCAAAATGCGGGAAAGTGAGCCTATGCGGTGAGACTATAATTTAATGACGACATTTGAGCGATGCTGAGACCTTGAGAGCTATAAAACCGGCGTGAGGAATTAGGGTTAGTATTTACAGTGTTTGGAATTTGGAATTAGATATAGGGTTTTCATCACGAACTGACACCATCTATAATGCCAAGACTCTATTAAGACAAATGGATGAGTGAATTTAGCGCCAAAATCCAAAACCCGTTATCTTATACGTGATTAGTTCGTCCATAAACTATAGTCTCGCCGCCTATGTCAGCCAAATGATTTTTGATTCCTTTTTTCTTTGTTCAACAAATTACAAGTGATACCTGTATACTAAAGGGTAGTCGAAAGTAAACAAATATTTTAGTCCTTTAAATAAATATATCAGTCAAGAATCTTATCATTTATATATTTACTTTTATCGTTTGATTCCTGACACAACATTGAGCACGTTACGCTTCAAAATGTATTCAAGACAAATTATTTCAATAGTTGGATTTCACTTTGCATCACCAATACATCTGCTGATGCAAGCATAAGACAAAAGATAGTTGTAAGAAACCTTTTAGGTTTTCTATTCCACTAAAAATCCCAGACTTCATCGGTATGTTAAATTATCTAATCTAAACGACTATTTGTAAAATATGGGGAATCTCAGCGCTTCCTTAGTATAATTTATTTCACAAGAGCACTTGAACTTATAAATATATTTATAAGGGTAAGTGATAAGGAGCGCTTCTATCAGTCAGTCAGCTAGTGTTGGACCTGATACGAGTGTGTAACCTCTCATCAACACACTGGGATAGTATGTGAAAATCATGGAAATAAAAACAGTATAACTTCCAATGGAACTCAAATATATGAAACAGTTCAGAAAAAACAAATGAGATTGAAGAGCATAAATGTTCATAGCGATGGGACAGTCACATTTATTTGCACTTCAGCAGCATAAAGAGAATATTAACAAAAGGTGAAAAATGTTATAATTTACTATAGTATGTAGGAAAATAGAAAAAATATAAAAAATTCTTTTTGGATTAGGAATAAAAATGAAACCGAATGCATGTAAACCTTCGCGAACATTTCCAAGTCATGAATCAATATTCCTAAATGCCTAATTTT